CAGATGAGGCCGTAGTAGACGGCGAGCAGCACGGCGGCCAGCGAGACGCAGAGGAAGTAGGCGCAGACCGGAGCCAGGCGCAGCCAGCGGCCCCGCGGCCCCTCGCTCAAGCCGGCGCCGCCGGGGCTCTCGCCACCGCCGCCCACGCAGCTCGTGCCCCGCATCCCCGCAGCCCACTCAGCCCCGCGCTGAGGCCCTCAAGGCCCCGCCCCCGCGCGCTGGCCCGCCCCCTCCCGGGACCAGCAGCCGCGGGTCGCCTCTTCATTCTAAGGCTCCCCCTCCAGCCCCGCCCCCGCAGGAATGACCACGCCCCCCACGTAGGCGGGCCTCCTCCGGGGACTGGGCCCGCCTCCTGCTCATCCTCCCGCCATCCACAGCGCTCTAACCACGCCCCTTCTGGCCTCGGCTCCGCCCCAGCACTTCTGTATCACTTTTAGCAAGCGACCAGGGTTCCTGCCACCCTCTGTCGGTGTCAACAACCGAAATCCAAGACCAAACCCACTGCCTGGAGTCAATTCTGACTCATAGTGACCCGACCAGGCAGAGAACTGAACCACAGGGTTTCCAAGGCTGTAATCTTTACAGAAGCAGAATGCCCCATCTTTGTCCCGTGGAGAGGCTAGTGAGCCAACTTCCAGCTGTAGCTGAGCGCTTAACCACAGCACCACCAGGGGTCCTTGTGTTACACCCAACCAAAAGCAAATGCACTGCCTTCGACTCAATTCCGACTCACAGCGACCCTACTGGGCAGAGCAGAACTGCCCTGTACAGTACCCTAGACTGCCTCATCTTTCTCGGCAGAGCTTCTGGTGGGTTCGCGGGTTACTCCCGGAGCCCCGCCCCAGTGCTGGGCTCTTCCCTCATTTTCTAGCCGCCTCCTCCCTAGCCCCGCCTCCCTCCCTGACCCTGCTGCATCCAGGCACCTAGAGCGACCTCCTCCCCACCTTAGCACTCCTTTGGGTCTCAATCTCATCCCTTTAGACGCAACCCTTTCTAAGTTCCAATGACCCCTTAAACTATCATTCCACCACCACCCTGGGCCCAGCTCTGCCTCTCTCCTGTCTAGTGCCAGCTTCATCCCTTTCCTCCTCCTTACTCCCCTGGTCCCAGCACAGAACTCTGACCACGCCCTCCACCCGCGGGCCGTCCCACACCAGTGTTTTTTTTAAAACAAACAAACATCCAAACCCACTCCCAAAGGCCTGAGTCCACGCCTACATCTAAGCCCAGAACACCAATGACCACTAATGGCAGAAAACCAGATGAGTTGTGGGACCACAACAAGGATATCATATACGAAGAAAGGAAGAAAAGACTAAGACAGATGTCAGAAGAGACTGTGAAACTTACTCTTGAATGTGTTGTTGTTGTTGTCATGTGCCGTCGAGTTGGACCCGACTCAAAGCTACCCCTCCTTGGGTTTCTGAGGCAGTATCACTATGGAAGTAGATTGCCCCATCTTCCTTCTGGGAAGTGGCTGGTGGGTTTGAACCACCAGCCTTCTGGTTAGCAGTCAAGTGCCTTAGCCACTATGCAGGTAAAGTGAATGGAAGAAATGAAGAAGTAAAAAAGCTGAACAGATTTCAAAGGGCAGATCAAGGAAGCAACGGATTATAATGAAATGTGCAAAGACCCAGAATTAGAAAATCAAAAGGGAAGAGAACACTCAGCATGTTTCAAGTTGAAAGAAATGAAGAAAAAATTCAAGTCTCCAGTTGCGATACTGAAGGATTCTATGGGCAAAATATTGAATGATGCAGGAAGAATCCAACGAAGATGGAAGGAGTACAGAGTCACCGATTAAGAGGAAGTGGTCGACGTTCAACCATTTCAGGAGGTAGCATATGATCAAGAACTGACAAGACTGAAGGAAAAAGTCCAAGCTGCATCGAAGGGACTGGCAAAAAAAACAGGCTCCAGGAATTGATGGAATACCACTTAAACTCTTCCAACATACGGATGCAATTCTGGGAGAACTCACTCATATAGGCCAATAAATTTGGAAGACAGCTAGCGGACCAGCCAAGTGGAAGAGATCCATATCTGTGTCATTCCAAAGAAAGGTGATGCAACAGAATGCAGAAGTTATTGAACATTATTATTAATTTCACATGCAAGTAAAATTTTGCAGGAGGTACTTGAGAAACAGTTGCACTAGTACAACAGGGAGCTGCCAGAAACTCAAGCCAGGTTCAGAAGATGTGCAATGAAGGATGTCACTGTTGATGTCAGATGTTGTGAAAGTCATGGCTGTGTGTCAAGGTGGATGGACCATGATTCTAAGCGGGTTAAGCAGCTGTGATATAGTCATTCTCCTGGTGAGATGTGATGTGATCACTTCCATGATGAGAAAGGCTATGGCCAGCCAATGAGTTGAAAGAGAGTTTCCTCAGGGGTGTGGCCTGCTTCCAATATATATATGCACAAACCGAAAAACCAAACTCACTACCATCAAATCAAATCCGACTCATAGCCACCCCTCCTTGGGTTTCCAAAGCAGTATCTCTATGGAAGCAGATTGCCCAACCTTCCTTCTGAGGAGTAGCTGGTGGGTTTGAAC